GGTTGGAGGGAGCCCCCCCCTCCCGACGGGAAGCCACAACCACGTGTCACGGCAGGGAAAATGGCCGCGGATCCTGTTCGTCACCCGATCCGGCGTTTGCGAACGGGAGCAAAATTTTGTGAACGGTGGTGTTCGTGACCCAAATTGGTCGTGAACAGAAGCGTTCGTGACCCGAGGTACCACTGTACTTAGCTCTCCCTCCTGATCACATCAGCTGTCTCTCCATTCTCTTCCTTCCTACAGGCAGCCCTCAATATGTTGACAAAATGTCAGGCTCTGAGTTATGAAGAAGAAGGGATCTTGTGCACTGCGGTTCATCCAGGCTGGGTGAAGACTGACATGGGGACCCAACAGGTGGGTGGCATCGGGGCAGCTCTTTAAGCGAACAAACATGTAACGTGCTCCTCCCAAAGCTCTGGGTAAAGGGATCTCCTGCTTCCTTCCAAGGTGTGCTACTTTCAAGAGGCAGTTCTGCAAATAAAAGTCAGGGAATGTTGTAAACTAAGGGCCCCATTCTCCTTGGAAACAGAACCAGTGGGAGACAGGCAAAGATAAATGAGATTTATTGTGGTTTTACAGCCTGACCCCTATGAAATGTTTATGCAAAGCCCTGGACTGTTAATCAATTCTCTCCTTTTTTCACACACATTCCTACATCCACAAGCATTCTGTGGGGAGCAACCTCTACAAGGGGAATGAGAAAGAGGAAAGAGACCAGGAGATTGGCAGGTGTGAGCATGGAACCTAATTGTGGAATACAGAAAAGGCTGCCTCTCTCCAAAACCTCTGGAGTCCTTTATCAAACCTTCTCCTTATCGTTCTCCTTTCTGTTTGGGATCAGCATTCCTTTTGGGGAGAACAATAGCAGAGAGAGGTTGTTTGCTGCATCAGAGAGGTGAATCTAAAGGTTTGCCATGGGAGAAGCAGAATGGAATAAATAGAATATGGGTAGACCAGACAGGACAATAGCAGCAGCTGGGTCCCCATCCTTGCTGTGGATGCCAACAGTGGTGAGGGGTACAACTTGAGTGTATTTTGCCATATGAACTGACTACCTGTGGCCTGCGTGAACCATGGGGCATGCGTTGCTGACTGTTGCTAGTGCATCTGAGATGGAACCTAGAGAGGACTGGGCAAAACTTTCTGATCCAGAATGGTCTAACCCTCAAGTGGGCTGTTCCAACTTTGGACCAATCTTGGAACATATGGGCTTTGTTGGGCTTTGTTGGGCAGAGGACAGTTTGTGAGCTGTGCAGTCAACGCAAAGAAGGGACTTCATGAGCAGCAGTGAAACATCACTAAGGCCATAAAAAGAAAACATGGTCCATTAAGGCAAACAACTTATGCTCTAAGGTTTAATCAGCCTGTCTCATGGAGTTAATTTAAAGCTGAAGGGAGCAGAGTCAAACTAGAGGATGGGCCTGTTTTTCATGTAGAAGATGCAGCACCCAGCAGGTAAGAATACAACTTTATCAACTTAGAAAGAAGTCCAGTTCGTTGTCTCTCTTCTTATCTCTCGCAGGCTGACTTGACTGTAGAAGAGAGCGTGCAGGGCATTCTCCAGGTATTCTCCAAGCTCAATCATGAGCACAGTGGAGCATTCGTGAATTGGAAGGGACAGAAGGTCCCTTGGTGAAAGTCTGGGATTTCAGCCATAGGCTGAAAGATCCAGCTTATGTTGCAACAGAAATTCTGCCCCAGAAGATGATGCAGTTTCAAAGTGGGCAACCTGGAGGTGTGCACCTTACTTATCTCTTACGTCCACCGTTGGCTGAAAAAGCTTGCTAGGCTCCAGAATGATTGTAATTAATTTCCTTTCATGGAAGGAAGGATTATGAAGTTTTCTTACTCCAACTGGAAGATTTGCTTGAAGTGGTAGCAGTAAGTTATGAAATTCCTTATTGCTGATTTACACTTCATGTTAAGTCTACAAACCTGACTTTGTACTGTGCTATGCTGAATCTAGTTAAATATAAAATAAAACTCAATCTGATGATTTCTATGGGTTGCTGCTGTTACGCTTTCTAGCCCTTGTGATACTTGAAGGAAATCCTGGGGTTAAAAAACGTGCACGTTCAGGCTGGCTTTATGTGGTTTGCTTCGTTTGGGGTTTGTATGCAAACCCAGTTTATTGGGTTGGTTTGTAAACTATGGTAAATTAAAATCATGGCTTGAACCACCTCTATCTGTCAATATTTTACTGCCCTCCTGCACTTGAATTCCCAGCATCCTTCGCTGTAGGGACATGCTAACTGGTGTTGGACAACCACGATTCTGTCCTTGGTAAGAGTTTAAAGGATTTTGCAGAACAGCCACATGGTGGCCCCAAAAACACTGTTCTTAAATCCAGAGAAGAACCTGCTCTACATTGATGGGGGAATTATGGTGAATAAATTCCCCAGATGGAGTTTCCTGTCTGTTTCCTAATGGAAGAGGAAGTCTGTAGTTTAGGCTTGGTGGATTGAGGGGCAAGGTGAAGTCCAGCATTTTCCATTAGGGGCTGGGTTCAGATGTCAGGAAATCCGAGGTGGACCGCCTCTAAGAGCTTGGGGGATGGCATGTTTTTGAAGGGGCTGAAGATGGGACTGGGACTGGGTGGTGAACTGTTCCCACTCTCACACTTAACAACACACAGACACACACACACACCCCTAACAGTCTGAAGGTGCAGTGCCAAAATTTAGTGGTGTGATGCTCTGCAGGATGAGTTTTTCAGAGTTAGAAATGGCAGTGGTTTGCCTCCCGGTCCCAACTAATTGGAAGGAAACACATTTTTAGTGGCATGATTTGGGGTGTTTGGGAGCTCATATGACCTGCAAACTGCCCATCCCTGTGCTAAATTGTAATGTGGTTTCTCTGGAATTAGCTTACTGAACTGAGCCAATTATAGCTTATAAATAACAGTTAATGCAGTGTATGCAACCAGCCAATTGTGGCTCAGTTAAACAGCTGTGATTTGTATTAAGCCAGCGTGACCCAACGCGGCAGCCACAATTCTGTACGGTGCCCATAAGGCTGTTCCCATATTTTGCCTCCCTGTTCCAACACGGCCACCTTTGTGTTTTGCGCGTAACTTTTTTCACAGGGCACCTGTGCAGTGAAATGCTGGCTCTCCAGGTCTTGTGAACCTTTCCACTGTTCGCCAACTTCAGCCTGAGTGGCTGCTAAGGGTGATGGGAGCTGTGGTCCAAGTGCACCCTCCCCCTGCTTCTGATATCAACCACAAGTGGAGGAGAACCAATCTGCAGCCAGTTATATCCAAATAATGGCTGAGACGTGAAGAGCTGACGGTGTCTCGCAGCAAAGAGCCCTTTGAGATGGACCTTCCACTTTGTCTGCCGAGGAGGAGATTCTTCTGCTGATTGCATTTTTCTGGCTGTTTCTTGTCATGTGGGATTTCCCTGTTTCAACCAGTTCTGCCACCTGTGCAATCAAGCCCAGCTTCCATTGTTGCTGCTGGATCTTAATACTAGGGAAAGGAAACAGCTGCATTTCTAGGAGAGGGAATGGGCTTCCTGCTGGCTTCAGAGTCAACGTGCTCATCCTCAGTGCTTCTGGGAGGGGGGAAAAAAAGCAAAGCAAAGGGAAACCCCGATTTTCTTTGCTTGCGTGGGTTTGTCTTTATTTCCCGAACTTTCTTTGGGTGAAGGGGCAGAAATAACTATGTGATTAGGGTCTACATTAAACTAAAGAAAACAAGGATTTCCATGGTTTGTGATAGTATTAAAGTATCCTTTTGGAGGATCTGAAACGAACTGTTCCAATAGAAGAGAACATATGTAGCTCAGGGTTGAACTGTGAAGTCCTTGGTGCTCTCTGAGCTTGGTTGTCTGCTTGCAGACGTTTCATTACCTGACTAGGTAACATCATCAGGGCGAGGGAGTGTGGGGTTTGCTCCCTGTTCATATCCAGTAGCTTGCCCTGCCAGTGTTGGGGTGTGGTTTTCTCCTTGGGAGTTCCTTGATTAAGGTATTGTTTTCTGTTTGATTGTTTGTCTGGTGTCAATCCCTGCTTATCTGGGTGTTGGTTGCTGGAGAGGATGAGTTCTGGTCTTTTTGTTTCCTTCTTAGCTTTTTTATTGTCTCTTGAATGGTGTGTAAATGTGGTTTGCACATGAACCACATTTGAATGAACTGTTGAATTCAAACACATTTGAATTCACATTTGAAAACACACTGGAATTCAAACACATTTGAATGAACTGTTTCTGGCAAAAAATCAGGAAGCTGGTAGCACTTTTTCTGGCTAACAAACTTCATTAACAGGTATAAGCTTTTGTGAACTGCAACTTATTTCATCAGACACATAGCATGGTTCGTTTTTTGCCACCACAGACTAACTCAGTTCTTCTCCTACAAACTGTTTCTGTGCTCTACTTCTCCTTGGCCAAAATCCTGTGATTTTGACCTATGATAGGAGATAGATTAGGTGCTGATGTGGTTTCAGGACTGGTTGCTGAACCTTTTTGTTTTCCCCTGGATATGAGATACAAGCAGACAGTGATAACATCTACCAGTTGCTTCCTCTCAATGTCTCCATTTTATGAGCTAATTTTGAAGTGGCTAAAATACCTGGCTCCCCCCCCCCCCCCC